GACTCCAACTCAAAAAAAAAAAAAAAACTTCCACAAAGTTCCAAAAAGCAAAACAGATTTGTCACTTGCTTAGTGCTACATTGAATCTACATGAATGCAGTGACATATAGGCATTGTATGAGGTACTGTAGGTAATTTAGAGATGATTTAAAGTAGACAGAAGGATGTGCATAGGTTATTTGTAAACACTACACCAGTTTCCATAAGGGACTCAAGCACCTGCAAAAGTTGGCATCTGCAGGGGATGGGGTCCTGGAAGCAATCTCTCATGGATTCCAAGGAATGATTGTATATGTTTCCATTCCAAAAGCATTTCTGAGCATCTGGTATGTAACAGTTACTGCGCTAGGAGCTAGGGATGCTGAAATGACTATAAGGCCCTACTCTCAAGATGCTCACAGGCTAGTAAGGAAACAGATAAGCAAAAACACAATTATGACACAACATTTAATGAGAGGCCTGGTACAGACTACAGGGTAACATTAAGGAAGAAACAGCAAACTCTTTCAGCCAGGGAACATTAAGGAAATCTCAGAGAGCGTGAGAATTGACCTGTGTCTTGAGAAAGACAAGGGAGTTTATCAAGTACCTCCAAGCAAGGGATAAGTACCCCCAGAGGAAAGAGGTGTGAAACAATACATGTTCTTGGGACTAGAACTGTGACCTTGACCTTGCAGGAGATTAATTGCAGGACAATGTGAGGAGATCATGGTGAAAATGTTGTCAGAGGCCAGATCATAAAGAGCCTGCCCACCATGCTCAGGAACATGGACTTCACTCTGTGGACTTTGGAGATCATCAGAGCATTTACCCAGAACCCTGAGCTGATCAGAAAGAAACATGGCTCTGCGGTATGGACAATAGACTGGGAGTGAAGACTCTGAGGACAGTCTCCATCAGGAGACTACCACAGTAGCCTAGACAAGGGAGTATGTAGTCTTGCCCTCATTTGAAAAGAATTTGCGGAGAACAGGGATGCACTGAGACTGTAGCAGGGGGGAAAAGGAAGAGAGACCAGAACAGCAAGTGGAATCAAAAAGACCTGCTGACCAACTGAAGGTGTAGAATAGCTAGGAGGGAAGAACTGGCTCGGAGAAGTGAATGACTAAGACTAAAAACACAGAGTGAATTATTTTAGACATGTTAAGAGTGAGGAATCTGAGAATGCCCAGGGGCAGTGAGAGACTTGAGTCTGCAGCTCAGAGCATCAGGGCTGAAAGGTATCTGGAGGTCATGGATGTGTAGGGAAGTAGGTGTGCCCACAGAAGCAGCTATCACTGCACAAATTGGTTTTTTCTATCCCTGTTTATGTTCATGTCCCAGAGTAATTATGAAAAGTTCCTATTTTACTAGCTGAAGTGTCCCAGGTTGAGCAATAAAATATGTGATCACCATAAACATTGGTTATCATCTTCACTTAATCTGGCTGATTTTTTAAAATTAGTGTCGTAGGTACACTACTCTTTATGTACTATTTTACAGAAAAAATCTTGACACTTTTCTATCAACTATGTATTAGAAAAATTTTCTTTGAGATCAGTAGGTGATTAATGCATTTGTATGTAAACCACCAACTTGTTTATAGTTGTAGGGTACTTTTTTGATGTTAGCTCTTCCTAAAGCAAGGCACAGTTGTTTTATCATGTGCCCATATCATTATTTTTCTTCTATAAGCAAAGTTACAGAAAAAAGGAAAACGTTCAAATAATGCATCACTATATGTGATATTCAGTAATTTTACAATTTAAAGCAATGGGTGTTCCTTTTTTACCACCGATTGAGTCACATATAGTATATCAGTATACATCTCTCTTATCTATCATCCATCTATATCTCAGCGCCCTCTGGCGTTTTTCAGAAAGGAGAACTTTTCTTAAAAGTATGGCATTCTCTAGCTGTCTTTCATCCCTTTAATTCAAAGTTTCCATATCAAAAAACAAGTTAAATGACACAGAAATAGCAACAGAGCTTTTCCTTGAATTATGAAGCCAAAGTCAAAAATACTAGTGTTAGGCTTTGCAAATACAGCTCACTTTAAACTGGATTAGGGATCAACTTATTACTTTTTGTTGTTGTTGTTGTTTGAGTCAGAGACTCGCTCTGTCACCCAGACTGGAGTGCAGTGGCATGCTCACAGCCACCACAGCCTTGACCTGCTGGTTTCAGGCAACTCTTCTGCCTCAGCTTTCCAAGTAGCTGGAACTGCAGGCAGGCACCACCACACCCGGCTAAGTTTTTGACTTATTGTAGAAATGAGGTCTTGCCAAGTTGCCCAGGCCGGTCTCGAACCCATGGGTTCAGACAGTCTTCTCACTTCGACCTCCCAAAGTGCTGGGATTATAGGCATGAGCCACCGCACCCAGCTATTTTTTTTTTTAATGAATTTAATGTTTGTGTACCTATTTTTTAAAAAGCAAGAAGTATCGTCAAGTATAAAATTTATTTCATTTTCTGCATAATTTCCAAAACTTCATTTTTTTTCTTTTGTTCTTTTATTTCAGTAGCATTAGGGAGTACAAATAGTTTTTTATTGCATGGCTGCATTGTATGGTGGCAAAGAAGTACCTGCCATTCCACGTGTGCACACTGTACCCACAGGTGATTTTTTTTTTTTTTTTTTTTTTTTGCGTTGGAGTCTCACTCTGTCGCCTACACTGGAATGCAGTGGCCGCTCCCGGCCACCGCAGCCTCGACCTGCTGGGCTCCGGCAATCCTTCTACCTCAGCCTTCCAAGTAGCCGGAATTACAGGCGTGCGCTACCACGCTCGGCTAATTTTTTGATTTATTGTAGAGATGAGGTCTCGCTGCCCAGGCGGGTCTCGAACCCGCGGGCTCAGGCAATCCACTCACCTCAGCCTCCCAAAGGTGCGGGATTACAGGCTGAGCCACCGAGCCCGGCTCACAGGTGATTTTTTATCCCTCCACCTCTTTCCATCCCCCTCTGAGTCTCCAGTGTCCATGATACCATTCTTTATGCCTAAGTAGTTCCTTAGTTTAGCTCCCACTTATAAGTAGAAACATGTGGTGTGTTTAGTTTTCTGTTCCTGCATTATTTCACTTAGGGTAATGTTCTCCAATCCTATCTAAATTGCTGCAAAGGGCATTGTTTCATTCTTTCTTTATGATTGAATAGTATTCCTTGGTGTGTGTGTGTGTGTGTGTGTGTGTGTGTGTGTGTGTGTTTTTTCTCATTTTCATTATCCACTGATCTGTTGATGGGCATTTAGGTTGATTTCGCCTCTTTGCAATCGTGAATTGTACTGTGATAAACATCCGAGTGCAGGTGTCTTTTTTTGTATAACGACCTTTGTTCCTTTGAGTAGACACACAGTAGTGGGATTGCTGAACTGACCTCTATTCCTTTGGGTAAATGACTAGTAGTGGGATTGCTGGATCAAATGGTGGGGCTTCTTTTAGCTCTTTGAGAAATCTCCATACTGATTTCCACAGATGTTGTACTAATTTGCACCCCACCAATAAGGTACAAGCATTTCCTTTTCACTGCATCCGTGCCAACATCTATTTTTTTAAATAATGGCCATTCTGACAGGTGCAGGGTGGTATCTCATTGTGTTTTAATTTGCTTCTGCAGCATTTAATTTTTTAATGATCACAATGTTGTTTCTCTGGAAAACATTAAAACAAACCAAGAGAAATACCAGAGTTGGAGGAAGGAACACAGTGACTCAGGAGGTAGTGTCCATTCAGAAAGCTCACCATTCAAAAAGGGACTGATGGCCACAGTACCACTGCATAGGGAACTTCATGACTGCAGTGGGCCCTGCTTTGTATGGAAGGGGTATTGACCTGCCCAATGAAAAGCCCCTGGGCATGTGTCTGCTACGATACCATGTCTACATTCTCCCCGTTCACCATCTTAGAGGGCCACTGTACCTGGGAAGCGTAAAAGTACCCCAGGTAAAGTCATGGCCTAATCCTCTGGGCAGAACACTGGATGAGAGAGAAGGGTGAACCAGCATACCTGTTCCCTGTCATAGGGGGATGGTCCAGTTGGGCTGCCAGTGCTCTGTGGCAGGCTGTCCTGCAGGCTATTCATCTGCTGCAGCACGGTGTTAGGGAACTAAGCCAAAAATGCACCAGACACGGCGGGTGGACATTTTCCCAAATGCCAGACTGAAGAACCCTTCCTCCTCTTAAATATAACCCATAAATCATTTTTCTAATCCCCAGAGAAAGGATATGTCCCCCGTGCTGCGCATGCAGGGCAGCGTCCTGGCCTGGAACCATTTCTATACTCTCAGACCAGCTTCCGCCCTTGACCAAACACAGAGACACACACATACACATACACACCCATAAACACCCTTTCTTCAGAAGCCATGTTTGAGTCGGGCTTGAATTGTGACAAATACTGTGAGAGAGCTCTGAAACAGAAGCTCCCATGTTGAGAGGATGGAGTTAACTGCCCAGAGAAGAGCCCCATTCAACTGAGCCAAGTCTCCTTGAGCGGCCATTTGTATACAAGTGGCCATCTATGTTGATAGGAATTTGGAATGAAGCACTGAAAACGGTGTTTAGCCTCTTGAGTGGAATCCTTTAAATCTCTACGGTAATTCAGTTTCAGCAGTGGTTGGACCACCCACGAGCCCCTGGAAGCACAGTGCATTTCAAGTTCTGCCTACTTTTTCAACCATTTTCTCTTTGAATCTTTCAGCTCTTCAGTCAAAGTGATCAGCACACTTGGACAATTTCCTAGGCTGGCATTCTTGAGATACAGCAAAAATTCAAAGGCAAATTACATACAAAAGGGCAGTTGGTTTGGCTTGAACTATGACTAACGGCATAGAAATAGCATAGGATTCATAGCAGCCTGCGATTCTAAAACTGGTCATCAAATCAGCCTTCATACATGATTTCTGGGATCGTTTTCCACATTATAGAACTTTCCCATGCCAGGAAAATGTATTTCCATAGAATGCATGATACCCATTCACCCTCACATGCACATACACAACATTCCTTTCTCATAAATTTAATGTAGTGTTTATGTGGATTATTTGTAGGAAAATCAAGCCTCAAGAAAGGGGCAGCTGGTTCAGAAGGAAAGCATGGACACCATCGACCATGCCACTCAGCTTGTCGAGCAAGCCCACGAGATGAGGGATAAAATCCAAGGTAAATGTAGTCTCTTCTGGTTCAGCTCAATGTCAAGGAGACACTTGTGTTATTAATAACGGTAAAAATAATGGCCACCATTAGTGTTTACTATGTCCCAGAACCTGCTGTTAGAGTATCATAGGTTTAAACATGTGTAAGTTCTTTGATTCAAGTTTGTTTATCCGGGATTTCTGAGTGCTCATCTCTACTTACTATCCGTTGATGTGCAAGAGTTAATATACAAAATCATCCCCTTTTTAGGCATTTCACAGAGGTGGAATGCCAGAATGCCTTTTCAGCACAGGAGATTACATGCTATGGTGTCTCTAAAAAGCAAGAGTTGAGTAGGAGTCATACACTTTTCTCGGTTTATTTGCAGAGAAGACATTGCCTTTAGACTGGCAGAAAACAGCTGGTCCAAATTGTCTCAAGCTGTGTCTACGATGCTCTTTCCCAAAGGCCAGGCAGGCAACATGCTCGGGTTCCCAGCCCAGAAGGAAAGGGTGGGGGCGGGGGGAGTTCTTTGTCCTAAAGCATTGTCCCTTCCTTGTTGGAGGTTTGCTTGTTTGTGCTCTCACTTCTGATGACTACAAGCTGCATCTGGAAGACTAGCTTAATAGTGCACTAAAAACTGTCTGCAATTACCAACAGGAGACAGGGGATTTCATTTGCTTCAGAATAAAGAGAATTTTCTTGGGAGAGAGTCTGCTAAGATCCAGTGTGTGTACTTCCATAATTTTTATTATACTATGTATTAAGTACTAGATGACAATACCAAGTGCATCTCTGGGCACAGTGGCAATAAAGGGACCCACAGTGGGAGATTCATATCTTTATATTGAGGTATCGGGTCATGTTCCAGGCAAAGGGATATATAAAGCCAGGATTAATCATGTGTCACGTTTCCTTTGGTGCCTGTAATAAACAATAAAAACAAGTGACATGCATTTCAATCACTCCTCAATCATCATTTCACATCTCCTCCCACATCTCATACTTTTTCATTTACTGATAAAATATTCTTTTCCTATTGCATTTTAGAGTTACTATTGATTTGTTCAAAAAGTAAGATTAAACCTAGAAGATTATATGACCTCATCCAAGTAATAAATAAATAAATGCCCTTATAGGCAGCACTTAACACCAAAATCCTAGAAAGCCATTTAGGGAAAAAGATCTGTCTTTGCTATTGTAACCCAAACTTTTATTCAAAGTTATGTCTTTTGGAAAGAGCCTGAATCCTCTTATTTGACCCATTAAGAATAGGAAAGGATGAAAAAATATAAAAGAAATGTAAATGGGAAATAATAATGTCTAAGTTTTTACTTTTTTAAGAATAATGTGGGATAGTTTCCAAAGACCAAAAGCAAAAATGCTATCGCCTGTATTTCCTTTTTCTAATCTATACTGCACATGGCTAAAAAAAAAAAAAAAAAAAAAAAAAAAAATTGTATATGTATTTTCATCAATGTGTCGAAGAATTAAGCATTGCAAGTGCTGGAGCTGAGGAAAAATATATTTGCTTTATTTTGGAGAGTAATACTTTAGACTTTACTCAAAAAGTGAGCATTTAATCCCTTCATAGTTGTTTTTTAACATATCTTCATATCCCTCTGCCTCTCTCAGTAATATTTGTGGCATTAAAAGCTTCTTCCTCCATTTGTCTCCCTTCCTTCAGAATTCTGGGGTGCTATACAACACCAATTGTGTGTCATTCCTTATCCCCAAGCATCTCTAAAACAACTGCCGGTGACCTTCAGGCTACCATCCACATAAAATACAACCCATTATTCTGGTATGATTTATGAGACACTGGCGTTTGTTTACCCGTCTTGTTTGGCCAACCATATAGATCTTAGTAAACCACAGACACACAATTTCATTTATGCCCGGAAGATAAAATGCTTCCTGCTAGAGTTGCCATAGGATGAAGTGATGATTGCATACCTTTCTTCTGATCATAGGTCATAGGAATGAGAGAGTGGGAAACTATCCTAACTCTGATGGTATTTAGACAGGGCACCCAATCCCTCTGAGCCCTGCCAGTCCCTCCAGTTCTAAAATTCTCCACCCTGCTTACAAATGTGTGTGAAAATGACTCAGGGTAGTCAGACAGGAAAAGGCAAATAGCAACTGCCAAAACTAAATATTAATGAGCAAAAGCTATCATATTATAACAAATCCCTATTTTATACCTAGTCTGTAAAGCAATTGGAAAGACTTATTTGGACAACTCTCAATATGTTCTTGTTAATTGGCTCAGAGCTTTAGTCAAATCTTTGTCTACAATATACTTAATAACTCCAATACAACTGACAAATGACAGGAGATGTCTCTGAACATTTTCTCCAAGTTCAGCGTGTTAGATAAAAGGTTGATCAAAGACCTTAAATACTAAGGCACGATGCTTAATGTTAGATATTAACATTCTCAAATCACTGTGAAAGCCCAATGAGGATGGAAGCCACATGGGCTTTGTACGAGCCAATTCTCATTCTGAAGACACTGCATGAGAAGCAGACGAGAAGGGTTTCCTGGGGCTTTTCTTCTCCTTAGAACACGCAATGAACCCCAACACAGAGCAGTACTCCCCTCTTGAGCATCAGCTGGCTTTGGATGAGCCTCTCTTTCCAGTTTGAGGTCAGCACTGTCCTCTGCTCAGCAGCCCTTACTCCCTGGGTCCCCAGCGCCAAGTCATCTCTCCCTGCTGCCTTGATTCACCGTGTTCTTTCTTCCAGAGATCAACAACAAGATGCTCTATTACGGGGAGGAGCAGGAACTTAGCCCTGAGGAAATCTCTGAGAAGTTGGTGTTGGCCCAGAAAATGCTTGAGGAGATCAGACGCCGTGAACCATTCCTCACCCAGCGGGAGCTTGTAGATGAGGAGGCTGATGAGGCCCACGAATGTAGGTGTTTTCTCCTCATAGCGGTCCCAACACATATCTGTTCTCTTTGCAGGCCCAGGGGTCAACACCAAGCCACAGGGCAACATTGGAACAAAGCAACCAATTCCTAGCATTCTGAGCTATTTAGAATTCGTACGTGGCCTTGGGGAATCATTGGAGACCTTTAGATTCAGGCCCAACTTTGAACCCTTGAGAAACAGCTGAGATTCCACCAGGAATCTGTAGCAGCTGGTGAAAACATATAAAACAGAGAAAAGAGGCCAAAGGGAACTAATTCCCAGAAGAGAGGCCAAGGAGAACCAATTCCCACTGTACCGAGAAGGCAGAAAGGCTACAAATCCAGCAACATTCATGCTGTGAGGTCCATGAATGACTTAATAATTTTAACCTCCAGTGGAAATTTAACATTTCCTTTCATGATGCAGGGAAGCACCAAGCCACAGTAGTATTTTTGAATCTGTGACTTGGTCACTGTATCTGCTATCAATTATTGACATCTACCCCAAACATATTCATTTGCGACAATAACCATTGATTTGTATATGGTTTCATGGGTTGACAATTTGGACTGGACACATCTCTGCTCCCTGAATTGTTTATTGACTGAGCTCACTGAGGCTACCTGGGAAGGCTGGGCCTCTCCCACCTGGTGGGGTCTTACCTCAATGAGACTAGCCCTGGCATGTTCACATGGCTGCGGTCTTTTAAAACGACAGGAAAGAAATTGCAAGGTCTCTTGAGGCGTGGCTTGCAACTCAGCAATGTTACATTCATTCTGTTGGTCAAGACCAGCCCAGATTCAAGGGATGAGGAGATAGACTCCACTCTTGATGGGAAGAACTGCAAAGAAATTATGTTCATTTTAATCTACTCAGTCGACAAAGAAGTCACAAATTTGCACGTCATGGTTTAGCTGTTGCTGATATTTTATAGTACCATTTAAATTCATCGATAACACAAAATGATGGTACTGATTAGATCTACCCCTAGATCTTGTTACTTAATGCATCAATACATAAGCACATATGCTATTATGCCACCAATTTGGTTCTTTAAATATATCTATCCCCTTTTAAGTTTTATATATTTTATTTTATGCATTTTAAGACACATTGTAAGAAGGAGTCTGAAGACTGCAATAGATTGCAAAGGGACCAATGACACAAAAAAGTTAAAGGGCATGAGGCCATTTTTCTCCCAAGTGTCACTGTCAACTTGCACTCACAATTATTGTAGGTACCATAGAAGAAGAACATTATTGATATTAAGATTTATTGTGGTCACAAATGTGTAAAATCTTGAAAACAGTAAGAACCAGAGAAAAATCTCAGGCCCCAGTTCTAAGTCTGACAGTCAGAAAAACTGGAGCTCTTACGTCACAGCAGATGCTTCCAAGCCCCTTCCCTGTTTTGAAATTGAGCGAGACTGCCCTGGGGAAATGGGACCAGTCACACCTCCCCCTTAGCCTCCTTCTATCTGAACTTGTTTTCAACCACTTTTACTACTCAGTCATGATCTTGTGTCTTCTGCTCACAGTGACAAAAGAAAATACAAAATCTCCACATGCCAGACTGATCTTCCCTGAAGAAAAATAGAATTAAGGCACCTAGTCAACACATGTGCCTTTGAGCAAAGAATGCATACAAGGTTTAAGAATAGCCTCTCTTTAATCTTTATTCCACCTCAGATCACGGTTTGGGTTTGGCCTAATGCAGATAACTAAAAACAGTTGCCTGGAGAAAATAGAGAAAATGAGAGGTTATGAACAGCATTTTGCCTTGTTACAGACAGGATAATCCTGGTTATTTTGAGCAGTCAAAGCTATATGTAGCATATCCAAGTCCCCTTTACATGGTAAAATTATTAGCAATCTGGGTAATAGCAAGCATAACATAATGGTACCATTTTCGTACAAAGCATAACAGGGGCTCCCAAACCCTACACAATAGCAATTTTTTACTTCAAATCTAAAACATGGGCTGTTTTGGTGAGCTGCAGCTTCCATCTCAATCACTAAAGGAGGCATGGCCCAACAGTGTCGCAGTTTTGCTCATGCCAGAAGGGACAGGAGGGACAGGAGGAAATGGGAGAGGCCAGCTGAGCTGTGTCTCGGTGTCTTCCCAGTGCTCAGCCAGGCCGAGAGTTGGCAGCGGCTGCACAACGAGACTCGCGCCCTGTTTCCCGTCGTCCTGGAGCAGCTGGACGACTACAATGCCAAGTTGTCAGACCTCCAGGAGTCACTCGACCAGGCCCTCAACCGCGTCAGGGATGCTGAGGACATGAACAGGGCCACAGCGGCCAGGCAACGGGACCACGAGGTACAGTAGACACTCACCATTCAGGGAGTCAGGCATAGACAATGTGAAGTTACACCAAGCAGGGACAGTAGGAGTAACGGTTTTTAAATATTGGTATAGGTAATATTTTTAAAACACTGCTGCATTTTCGTTGCTGTGAATTACGAGTATAAGTGTGTGTCCCAACGTCAAGTAGAAAGCAGGGAATTGTTGAGTTTTTGCTTTGGTGAGAACACATCTGCTCTGGCGCTTGTGTCCGTGAGTAGGTAAGCAATGCATAGCTTTGTTTGGGGGATTTTTTGGGGGGGGGCTTTATTTCTATAGCATTGGAGGTACCAATAGCTTTTGGTTACATGGTTGCATTGTAAAGAGGCAAAGAAGTCTGGGTTTTAAGTGTACCCACCACCCTATCTGGGCACACTGTATCTGACAGGTGATTTTTTTGTCCCTTCGCCTCTTCCCGCTTCCCCTTCTGAGTCTCCAGTGTCTATGACACCATTCTCGATGACTTTGCATATCCTTAGTTTAGCTTCCACTTCTAAGTGAGAACATGTTTGGTTTTCTGTTTCTGCGTTAGCTCACTTAGGATGATGGTCTCCAATCCTATCCAAATTGCTGCAAAAGACATTTCATTCTGTTTGATAGCTGAATAGTATTTCATGGTGTATACATACCACATTTTCTCTATCCATCGGTTGGTTGATGTGCATTTGGATTTATTCCACATCCTTGTGAATTGGGCTACATTGAACATGCGGGTGTAGGTGTCTTTTATGTAATGACCTCTGACCCCTGTCTCTTTGGGTAAATGCCTAGTAGTGAGTGGGATTGCTGAATCAAATTATAGATCCACGTAATTTTTTTTTTTTTTTAG